AGAGAGAGGGAGTCCCACCAACCAGCGTGTGTTGCACACACCACACAGCGAGAGCGGGACGGGAGCAGGGTGTGCCCTATACTATTGCTGATGATGCTAGCTTTCGGCGGAGGAAGCGAGAGGAGAGATATTGATTGGGTCTCTGTGGGTCCATCGGTTGGTTGTTGTTATTGTGTTGCGACGCGGCGGGAGGGAGCGGCCTCTGACTCTGCTCTGGAGAGAGGCACACATACATCACAGCACGGGACCAGTAACACATCACGCTCGTTCCTAGACGATGTAGTACCACTGCTGTGCTGTGCACCTCTCTACACTCATTGTGGGCGAGAGGGTGTGTCGCCTCTGCTGCTGCTGCTGTTGCTGTTATCTAAAGCGGTGGCGGAAGCGTCCTGTTCAAACAATCAGCAGCAGCAGCATCACAAGCCGGGGAATTTTCCAACGTTTTTTTCTTTTTCTCTAGCTGATGACGATGGATAGCACCCCCCTCCCTCACTAGCTGGTGNTGCTGCTGCTGTTGCTGTTATCTAAAGCGGTGGCGGAAGCGTCCTGTTCAAACAATCAGAAAGCAGCTAGGTAGAGAGCCGGGGAATTTTCCAACGTTATTTTCTTCTCTCTTGCTGATGACGATGGATAGCACCCTTCCCCTCACGGCTGCAGTGCATACCACCCCCCTCGCTAGCTGATGATGGACACCACCCCCCCCTCTAGCGAATGATGATGGGTACCACCCCCCTCTCTAGCTGGTGATGATGGATAGCAGCCCCCCCTCACGGCTGACAATGGATACCATCCCCCTCTAGCGAATCATGATGGATACCACCCCCCTCTGTAGCTGGACCGCCCCCCGTTCTTCGGTAACAGACGCACGAGCCTACTGCAGGTACTTTTGTGCAACCACCACAAAAAACTTTTTATTTTCCGTCGGGCCAACTTCCGGGAGCCATAAGAGTCAGCCTTATCACAAACACCCAACACCGTATTCAGGAAAAAAACGGAAAAATAATTGACCACACAACAAGAGATGTTTGTCCGCGCGCCACGGTTCGATGCCGTCCGCCTGCTCCGGTTCCGCTGCTCCGGTGCCGCTGCTCCGGTGCCGCTGCTCCGGTGCCGCTGCTCCGGTGCCGCTGTGGCCAGTCCTAGCACGACCAAACTCGACCCGCTCCGCTTCGTACATGCTCTCGTTACTGTCCATCGCAGTCGGTACCTCGCTTTCTCTCTCGTTGCACTTAGGGTTCTTGGTCTAAAAATTCTCGCGCCGAAGGGTCAACCAGCCCAATCAGCTCGTCACCACCTGTCCCCTCCTCCTTTGATGGCAAAACCAGGTTACTGAGACAGTACAGCTCCCTCTAGCAAACCTAGGGCCGTGTACATAGTGCCCGTCCGCCTTTCTGATGACGTCTGCCTCCGCGCACAAGGATGAGATGGGCATTGCTGCCTACACCGACGAGGCCCGCGCATCTGCACCTTTGTACCTGACGCACCAGTGCCAACCCAACTCCACCACTACGCACGCCTCGCGGCGGGTGCGCCGCAGCAAGAAGGTATCGGTCCCTTGAGGGTGAGTCTAGCCCTGCTCGCTAGAAAGACCCCCCCCTCGCTATGGGTCATGCCTAAGCAAAACCTTGCCGAGGCAGCGAGGGGAAGAAAGGGTATGCAGTGACATACTGATGTGCGCGGACCGCACGGGAAGATCCGCAGAGCAAGCGGAGGAACAGTTGGACGGGGGACCTCGAGTAGGACGTACGTACAGCTACACCAGAGAATCACTTACCATCCGTCTCTATCCCCTCGTACGGGCTCACGTAGCCAAGTGTATCAAGATGGCGCACCGTCGCTCCGCGCTTGACGCCTCACGGCTCGCACTCGGTGGATCCGGAAAATTGTGGTTACCCCAACGCCTCCAGCGAAAAAGCACCAACGTTCGGCCGCGTTTCCATACGTCCGCGTTAGCGGTGACTACGGGAACCTCTCAAGGTTCCGTGATGTCAACGAGCGGCTGCGTTGAATACACGTCACGGGGCAGGTCTCACATGGTAGCTTCGGCTGTAAGCAGCGGAGGCATGGCATTTTTCCCGAAGGTGGGTGAGAGGAAGATCCAGAAACATGATTGATCATGATTTCGCCGGCACATCTACTGCTGTACCCCGTTGCGCCTTACGACGGCCCGTAGAAGAAGCACGGTTCTCTGTGATCTGTGCCGACTATGTTCCAGGAGGAAAACTTTCACGATTCGCGGTAAAAAGATGTAGTAGGCTCTGCAGCACATGAATTGAGCTCAACGGGGATCGCGAATCAATCGGTCAATCAATCAGCGCTCAAGAAAATTATGCCGAAAATTATATCATGAGTTGCGAAGCACGCTGATATAGACTATTTGTGGACACGAGTACACCGCAGCAGTAGTTGGGTGTTGTTTTTCTACGAGAGAAATACTCGCAGAGACACACAAACCATGGGGAACTGGGGGCAGAAACATAGGCCATCCTACATGCAGATAACGAAATGTAAAGGCGAATAGATGGGAGACACAGACAGACGTGTCCTTACTCTGCACACCCCAGGAAGCGACGAGAAAAGAAAAAAAGCGCCGAGTCGACACAATCCCCCCCCCTCGCGCTACTTCGTTTGTGCCCTCTGGCACCCCAGTGTTTATTTGCTTGCCCTTGTGAATGCCACCTCAGACTGTCGTAGATGGTGGCGTCAGATGACCTGTCGGAGATCTACCTTCGGGGTGTTACCACAGATAGAGTCAGTGCAGGTTGGATGCTGAACCTTGCTTCAACACAAGGTTGATCCCCACCTGCCTCACACACACACTCGACTCAACGTTCCGTACATACCCTGCATGCTTATTTTACTGCCGCACCTGGACTTCAAGTGCTACAGCCGAGGTGACGAGAAATCGGATGTGAGAAAGTGGTATGTATGCACAGCAGATCTAGCCAAATCAAAAAAGTGAATCGGTCAGCCAGAGCCAAAAAAGGTGGAAACGCTAATTTTTACTCCTTCTACCGCTTATTGTACTACATCATCAATCACTGCCGACTTACTGAAGTATCATAATGATAATAGTTTTTTTTTTGAAAAAGTGTGGCCCGTTAGGGGTACGCTTTTTGTTTTGTTTCGCAAAAAAAAACTGTTTAGAGGGATCGTGTGTGGAGTATGTGCGCACGAGAAAAGGAATAATTTTCATGCACAGGGGCGTGAAAATTTAGCAATGGCTGTCTGTCTGTCTGTCTGTCTGGTGTCTGCGCGCCCTAAATACCCAGCAGACTCGAGCCCATTTCACCATCTCGGCACCAAATTGCAAACTAAAACTTGCGCACAAAAAGCAATATTTTGCCCGAGCTGTCCCAACCGCTACCTTTGCAATCCGTGGTCGGTGTCTCGAGATAGCACACCGTTTGTGCAAATATATATGTCACATGGACGCATCCCCGGGAGGCGTCGTCATTTTTGTTTTTCTCTGGGCAACAAACTACACGCACGCAAGAACCACGACGCACTGCCGTGCTGCACACATTGCCGCTGCTACTGGCAAGACACGCACTACACAGAGACAGGGAACATGGACAAGGGGGGCGGGACACACACACACACTGCTGTTAGCGACGGCGGAGGAACCGGGGAACGTTTGGTTGGTCTGGGGTTCATCGCTGATGATGTTGTTGTTGTTGTTTCCGTGGTTTGTTGTTGTTCAACGCAGCCGGCCTTTTTTTCGCCTTTTTTTCTCTGGAGAGAGAGGGAGTCCCACCAACCAGCGTGTGTTGCACACACCACACAGCGAGAGCGGGACGGGAGCAGGGTGTGCCCTATACTACTGCTGCTGCTAGCTTTCGGCGGAGGAAGCGAGAGGAGAGATATTGATTGGGTCTCTGTGGGTCCATCGGTTGGTTGTTGTTATTGTGTTGCGACGCGGCGGGAGGGAGCGGCCTCTGACTCTGCTCTGGAGAGAGGCACACATACATCACAGCACGGGACCAGTAACACATCACGCTCGTTCCTAGACGATGTAGTACCACTGCTGTGCTGTGCACCTCTCTACACTCATTGTGGGCGAGAGGGTGTGTCGCCTCTGCTGCTGCTGCTGTTGCTGTTATCTAAAGCGGTGGCGGAAGCGTCCTGTTCAAACAATCAGCAGCAGCAGCAGCACAAGCCGGGGAATTTTTCAACGTTTTTTTTTTCCTCTCTAGCTGATGACGATGGATAGCACCCCCCCCCCTCTCTAGCTGGTGACGATGAATAGCACCCCCCCTCACTGCTGATGCTGGACACCACCCTCCCCTCTAGCGAATGATGATGGATACCACCCCCCTCTCTAGCTGGTGATGATGGACCGCCCCCCGTTCTTCTGTAACAGACGCACGAGCCTACTGCAGGTACTTTTGTGCAACCACCACAAAAAACTATTCCACCTCCCGATCTAGTAGTAGTTTTTTTTTTGTGAAAAGTGGGGCCCGTTAGGGGTACGCTTTTTGTTTTATTTTGCAAAAAAAAGCTGTTTACAGGGATCGTGTGTGGGGTATGTGCGCACGAGAAAAAGAATAATTTTC